TTTGCAAATGCAGGAGTCTCGAGAATGAAATGAAGAACAATTCCAACTTTTAAGCATATAATGATAAACAGTGACGGTTCCTAGATATTCTCTGAGCTCTATAGTTGAGTTTTATAGTGAAAGAACATGAAGAAATTCAATGTTCTTTAAAAATCAGTTTTGTTTGGGACCATTAAAAGTACACATATTGAATTCCTTCTTTGTTATTTAGTCTTAATGTTAACTTGTGTATGTGAATATAAAATATCACTGTATTGAAAAACCGGAAAGTGTCTTCTTTGAAAGCTTAGGTAGGCAATTTTGTAATTTCAAGGGCTGAGAGGTAGTTTCATAATTTAAAGCATATTTCAGAATTAAATGAGTGTTACAGTATCATGTCTAACATCAGTTGAATCGTCTTGCAAATGTTTCTCATGTTTTCTTCTTCCAACTCCCTCTGCAGATATAAACTTCTGAGGTATTCCAGAGAACGTCAGTATATTGATGGGTTGAACAATTTAATATATACTCCTAAAATACTTGTCAGTAGATTGTATAAAAATATAACTGTTAATCTCATACCGGAACTTGCTCCTGTTAGAGACTATTGATGAAAGTGGAATGACAAGCTACCCTACCGGAATAAACTTTTAACACTGGAAGCTACTAACAGACGCTGTAAAACAAAACAAAACCAACAAGCAGCATCTTAAGAATTAGAGATTTTTGACCATTTGATAATGCATATTAGCAATGAGAAGTGATTGTATGTACCATGCATTTTGTTCAAAAAGGAAAGGCAGCAGCTACCACTCAGATGTTTACAGCATGAGACTACTGTTCAAGCCTTCATTCTTCATATTCTCTATCTAAACTACTCAACTAAATAAACTGCAGAAAACAGACTTGTAGCTTCTCTGGAAGTAGGGACAGAGGCCTCTTCCAGGAATTTTTTTATACTAAACTGCCTCCCCCCCCCAATATTTAAATGAATGCTTTTGTTTCTTTTTAAAACGTGTTTTGTAAATATGTGATGTAAATGAATGTGTGTACATTGCTTTTAAATTGATCAATATTTTATGCTTCAGTATGTATTTGAGTGTGTTCTTGTTTGAATTCTATAGGAATGTTTTTATTAGCATGAAAGAACAAGTGTAAAATGTAAGTATGCTTAAAAAAAGGTTATACCTTATGTGAAATGAAGGAAATATTAATTGTTGGCCAGCTATGACTGTAAACTGTTATACTAGTTTTGAGCTCTAGGCCTCCTGCATATCTGTATAGAAAAATCAATTTCATATATGAACGTGCTAGAAAGAAAGCTTTTAATTTTATTTATTGCCAGCAAAATTGTATGATACCCTGCTTGCCATCTAAATGCTATTTATATGCATATTGCATGTGTATTACAGAAAATCTTGCCGTTGTTGCGTTTTATGATCTACAGGAACTGTTTCCAAGTGTGCCACTAGTGTCAATGTCAGGGATTTTAATGCCTAAAACAGTGTGTCTGGGTGCGTACAGTATTTTGGTATTGTTCTTTTTAAAAAAAAAAAAAAATCCTAGTAAACAGCACTTTTATTCCTCCAAAATCAGAAGAGCCAAAAATGTGTCTTCATTGGAAGAATATTTAATTTAGATTTTTAAGAAAATAATAAAACATAGTTCTAATAGTTCTAACTCTTGTATTGTGGGATTTTCAGAACCACGATGTTGGTCACACTGCTCCGCTGATGATGATGTGATGACCTAAGTGGAACTAAAAGCTGGCCAAATCCAAGTGCTTTTTAAAATTCCACTCATAATATATTAATCAATATAGCTATTTAAGGGCCTATTCTGGTAGAGTGCTGAGTGCTTCCATGATGCACTGAGTATCCTCAAGTCGATGACTTTCAATGAGATTGAGGTTGCACAGTCCAACTAAGGATTGGTCCTTTCTATTTCTCTATTTTTTTTTGTGGTGTTGTATATAACTAGCCCCTTTCCTTGGCTTATAATGCAAAACATATCTTCTTATTTTCTGTTTCCTTGTAATGTTATGCTACCTAAAAGTATCCCAGTGCTAAGCATTATTATGTTTTTCCAATATTTTTTTACATCCCTTGTTAATACTAAGGAAAACAACTGGAGCATTTATTTTCTATGTTAATGCAAAGATACTGACCAAGATCTACTAAGCTGTTTTGTTTGTCACAGTTACTCAACTCTTTAGGAACCAAAGAGTGACTTCTGCTCCCATGAAGAATGGAAAGCAGTATATAATAAGGATTGTTTATCCATAGAGTGTTCTGTAAGAGTGTTGACAAAGAATATTAACTTTAACTCATTACTGTGTGTTGGTTTCCTGAATTGCTACCACAGATGGTGTGGTGCTTTGTATATTTGAGTTTGTTTGCCATAAACATCTTTTATTTTTTTGACATCCCAGCAGCAAATTTTGCCCTTAGCCATTCTTCAGTAAAGTTAGGAGCTTAGTTGTAGGCATCCCAAATATTTAGTAGAAATGTAATGATTTAAGTAGTTGAGAACAGAGAACCATATTGGAATTACCTTGAAATCTATCAGTTAATCTAATATGCTTTAGGAATGATGTAATGCAATAAAAATAACTAAGAGCATAAAGTGAACAAAATATCCTTCAAAAGCATGCTTAAGTGGTTTTATCACTTCCTGATACACTTTTCTATAACTGAGTGTATAGAATATTCTGAAGCATCTAGATAAATGTGAGGTAATACACTCTATGAACAATTATATCTTCAAAATAAAACTGGTCTTACTTTATAGCAGACTAATACAATTCTTTAAGAACTGTTGAATAAATTTTTAAATCCCTGATGTAATTTCTGGTTTTCAGTATTAGTTCACCTACAATTTAATACCTATGATTATGAAACATCCTTTGGTACTGTAGGTCTGTACTGTTTTCTGAAGCATGCTTTTGTGCCTATTTGTTAGGCATTCTGTGAAATTACTGTGCAATCTTTAAAAATTCTACTGCATATATATGTATATATACACACTTATATACATACTATATTACACATATGCTGTGGCTGAGCTAATATAACTTTACAGGTCCAAGTGATTAATCATGTAAGGTCTCAAAAAATGTGATTTAAACCAGTATGTGAATGGATTACGACATGTAGCTGAGTTCCTAAAATGTTTTCGGTTTGATGCCCCAAAGATAGATGTTAAATTATGAATTGTTAACCAACGTTCTTCTCTAAATACCTTTTATCACTTTGCTGGGAACTTCTAAAAGTTGCCATGTTAAATTATATCAAAAAAGTGTTTGTATACTACCTGCTTGAACTCAGTACTATTCTGTAGTGAATTTTAACATAGACAGTGCCTTCAAACAAAATAAATACGATGCAGAACTATGAGTTGTGCACATTCCTTTTGATATTTTCATGGTTCTTGTAAAATGTAGAGAGAAGCCAATCACATTGCCTTTTGCATTGCTTTCAAGGCAAATTAAGCATGTCTTCCCTTCAAGGAGTGAGTATGGAGGGAGAAGAAAGAGGGAGTATTTTACAAGACCCTGAAGGTGTTGCAAATTAACAAGTGAAAATATTACAGAAATACTAACAGTGGGATCTGGTTGATATGCTGTGGTACTCTTCAGCCCATTTGCTGTATTACAAATTAAAGGAGAAAATATAAAATCAATTTTGCAATAGACAGTATATGGAAAAACAAGTGCAAAATGTCCTTTTTCTTGGATCTCGCCAGTCTATTTTTCTATCATTATGTTTACTAATGACTTTGTAGTGGGTAACTAATGAGACAGTTATTTAAAAATATTAAAAGGATCCATTGTATCAGCAAGAGGAAGAGTACTTATTTTATTTGTAGAGGTGTGTAAGATAGTCTTAATGAAAAATGCACTAAAACAAATGCTGGGAATTTCCTGTGTACTATCATAGTTTTGTTTTTTTTGTTGTTCATGCAAATGTTTGTACTTTTTTATCATTGTCTTTTATGAAATATAATGTTCTAAAGATTGTGTTGGCTTGTTTATTCTGAGCTTCTGTGGAGAACTGTCTTCTTTGAGTTTTGTTTATAGACAAAGAACTCATTTTTCTAGTGCTTAGTCCCTAGAAGTAACAACAAAAGGAACACCTGGCCAGCAGATATAACAGGTTCGGCAGTGATGGGAACAAGCCATAGGCTAACAAATTGGTTTCCCTTTACTGGTATTTATATGCATTCAGCTTCTGGTTTTATTAGGATAAATGACTCGTGCTTTTCCAGTGGCTCTCCTAATGGCTCTCTAAGTTTAGGAATAATCTTCCTTATGTATGGGTTATAAGAATGGGAAATAGAAGTATTCATCCCTATTTCTCCTGGCATTAAACAGGGAGCTGCTTTTCTCAGGAATCATCAGTTATCCTTATTTTTCTTTGTATGTTGTAGCTATTACAAAAGTGTCTGATGGTTAGAGGTATGCAAGTAATTTTTGGGAGTACTTCATCTGGGGTCAAAGGTATTTGCAGAATTTTATGAAAGTACACAAACTTATTAAGTATTTTTGTATATACTTTTCTGCAGCGCTGGATACTGACTTTTCTTGAAAGAGTCACCAATTACAATATATTGGAAAGCAGGAAAGAAGGTATTTTAAGTATGTGTAACATCCTTAACTGCTATTCTACCTTGCTGTCTCTTTTAAGCTGCTTTTGCTTCTATATCTTAAAAATCAGAATCTGGTGATTATGTGGCATCCTGGGTAGTAGTCCCATGCAACTTCATCTATTGTGGACTTCAGTGATAAAGTGTAGATGACGGTAGGTGGTAGATTGTGTTTCTTGTGGGCTTGCTTTTCATGAGACCCCTTTCAGATGCGGTTTGTTATCTTCCTTTGCAAGGAGTATAGTTTATTAACTTCATGGAAGACCTTGATTTATTCTTAGAGTCTCAATAATGGAGTTTCAGTGCAATTTTTTTCTAAGCTTAATGTGTTTTTTTCAAACCCTAAATTTTTATTCAGAAGAACAATACTTACAGAATACAGAAATAAAGAATACTTTTATTCAGAAGAGTATTTGAAAGCAAAATCAATACATGTTTCTCATAAAATTAACAAAGTGAGAAAACAAGTGATTTGCTGTTGATACAGTTAGAAACTAAGTTCTTACCATTGATGGAATCTTTAATTTACACCTCTAAATTGCCATCCTTAATATTTGCTTCTACTCCACTGGCTCACTAACTACTGCTGTAGTTGAGTAAGAAAAGGGACTGAGGAGAACAACAATGGAATAATGTCGATAACTACCATCATTAGCTGTGAACACCACCTGGAAAAAGAAAACATACAAGATAAATGAGAAATGATCTCTAGCTGTGAGCCTATATGGAACCATTGTAATCATTTTATCTAACCTCTCACAAAACTTCGAAAATACCTTCTCTTGTGATTTGATCACAGTGATCTGTGACTGCCTGTCACACAGTTTTTCCACGTTAAATATCCTTTCCTAAAAACATCCCTGTCACATATATTATTTAAAATTTCATCAAATATATTTATCATCCAAATAATGGTTTCCTTGTTGATACTTGTAAGTGGTTCCTTATTGAACCCATTGACTGTCTTTATTAAAAATGGAAAAATAAAAAAGGCATTCTTTCAAGTATTTGAAGTATTTGACTATTTTTGTTGCTCTTATGAAGTCCTGAGCTTTGAGGAACAGAATTAAACATAGTGCTACAGTCACTATCGTCAGGCAAAAATACAAAGCAATGAGTTTCTCTTTACCTACATCTAGTAGGTAGAGAAGAACGGCATTAGTCCTTCAGCCGCAACATGGTAATAACTTTATATATGAATGATTTATAATAGTCTTTTTAACATCTTTCCCAGCTCATATCCTATCCTTTGATATCTCCTTTTACATAGTAAAATTATTTGTGTGAGATTATGGGTGTCAACTTTTAAAATAGGTAGTCTAATAATTCTGTGGTGCACAGCTTCTGCTCCTTTCAACATTGGTAAAAAAGATGCATATGAAACAACCAGTGAACTGAGCAAAAACATGATGTTCCCCACTGAGGCTTATTTTTAAGAAAGGAGCTCTTGCACTCTGTATTAAATTTATTTCTAGTCTGGAATATAGACTTAAGCATCTTGATGTATAATAAATTTCTTACATGCTTAAATCATCTTGCCTCTTTTGTTTTAGTTATCACAGAAGGCAAGACTATCCAGTGTTAACCTTCATTGTTGTTTAGAATAAGAATATAATTTCTCATCTATATTTTAGGGAGGCAGAAACAAAGTTTAACCCAGGGGTTTGCTACCTTTTCTTCAAGAGATGAGGAATGGCTGTTTGGACAGCAGTTGCAAACTGTATGGCTGGTGGTGTTCACTGGTCTGTCACAGTCCAGTAAACAATAATACAGGGCTGCAGCTGCTACTGAAAGCTTATATGAAAGGTCTGACACTGCGGAGGGGAAGGGGAGAGCCCCCATGGAGTCCCTAACCCTCTAGTTGGCCTCAGCTGGTAGCTGGTTTAGACCACCTTCTCTAACCAATCTATCCCATGCAAACTAAAAAGGCCTGTTATACTTTTTTTTTTTTTTAACCTGAGGATCCAAGCATCCAGAATGCGTTTCATACTTCCATTATCTTTAAAAATCTAAATTATAAACTGCCTACAGTTGTGAAACTCCTGGATCCAAAAGGCAAAAAAATTATTTTCCCAGGAATAGAATAATTCACCTGTTGTTCTCCCTTAGGTGTCTAGAGTAGAAAGAATCACAGGCTTAAGTAGAGGTAGAAGGCTGGAAAACCTGTTTGAAAGTAATGCATCTAAGAGCTTATTGAGACTTATGGGGAAGCTAGTAATTACATTCTCTCCCGAGTATGTTAAAAAAGCTTTGAGGCTATAGATTTAAAGTGTTAATGCAGAAACACTTTAAAGTGAAAAGAAAGCTCAACATTTAGTTACTAATTGAAGCCTAGACAGGTAAAGGATCTGTATTCTTTGCAGCTAAAGTACAGGAGAAAATGAATACTCACATCAGCATGGTGATGGAAGGGGTTCAAGCCCAGACTCTTCCAATAAGAGGCTGTGTCAAGCTCAATCTTGTACAACCCTGCTACAAATTGTTCCTTAGTAGTGAGTTCATGGAGCCCGCCGTTGTCATTGGTTTGTCTGTGATGACAGAAGAATGCACTTTTATATTTTGGTTGAAACCCCAAGAATGCAGATCTTAGCAATTGAATTTGAGTGACGTTGTGTAGCTTAAGTAATGTGACAAATACTTCTATTGGTCTGGAATGGTGTATGTCCATCTGTATTATGGATGCTTCAGAGCTTATCCTGGCATTTGTTATATCCTCCATTGCCACAGCAGCTGGCTGCCTGCCATGTCACTACGCTGTATGGCTTGAGGGTGAGCCAGAAGTTGACATTATTGTTCATAGACTCTTGGCAGGGTCTTGGAGTTAATTAAATTTAGCCACTCAGAGGGAGAGCTTTGCCACTGTTGTAAGCAATGCAGGAGCTCTATGGTGCACTTACTGTGCAAGTAAGTAGGGTCAACTCTTGATTTTTTTGTTCTTATTTAGATGTATTGAGTATAAATTTTTCTCTACAAGTGGCTATTTGAAATTTGAAGTCTGCTATTTGAAATTACTGGAGGTCAGCCAACATAGCCTTATGGAATACCCTGTTGTCTGTATTGATCAGTTGATTTTCCATCCTTGGCAAACAGATGGTTTTGTTTTATTTGAAGATGCTATCAATGCTATCCAAGGCCATAGTTCTGCCTTGAAATGATGCACCTTTGAACACCAACCAATTTAGGGCTCCAGAACCAATATTGAATTCTGTCTCTTAAACATGTCTCTTGGTTGAAACCTATTTCTGTGAAATAAATTATCCTAGGTTTTTGGTTGGGTAGGTTATCCATTGCTAGTGTCTGATTTTAGTAGTCACAAGCCACTGTTTTGTGTTCTGGCTGCCATATCTTTTCTGAACATATTTTATTCAAATTGCATGCATAAAAAAATTAAGAATTCAATGTTTTTGATATCATTGTCCAATGCATTACTTAAGATTTGTACTTTAATGTAGCGTGTGAGTCATAGAATAGCACTTGTAACTTCTAAGTTGCTCTGTAGTCAGTTGTCAGACTTTTTTTATCCATTTGAATGTCTCTATTTTTGTAGATTGGTCATTATTAGATAAACTTTCATTTTTTTTAATAAGCTTTTTCAACTAAACCCAAACATATTTTTAACTGAGAACAGTTATTTCAGAATCTCTTGTTAAAATTCAGTTATTTACAAATTAAGAAGGCTGGAGAGGTTGATTTATTATTATCACAATGTTTGCACACCTTATCTTAAGGTTACTTTGTTCTTTGTTTCAAATGTTAAGGATGTTTTTATGGCTTTAGTCAACATCTAGCTGTTCGGCCCAGTATCTTTATATAAAGCCTCTAAGTTCAGAGTTGAATGAAGATAAACTAAACACCCTCTTAATAGAAGATTTCGTATATTTCCGGTGACAGAATATGTGTGAAGCTATCTGCTCACTTGAGGGGTGGAAGGTGATTTAAGTAGGACAATGTGAATAGATTGTTCTTCCCCACCTTGTACAAGTATGTGCGGCCTTCACTATGGCTATTTTTCAGGGACACATATGAGAGCACTGTCGTTTCTGCCAGCCTGCTGCTTTATAACACCAAAGAGCCACTTGCATACAGTTTCTCATGGACTGTCTAGAAATGCATCTGGAGTCCCACTATTTAAAAGTTATCTACATATGAAATTCCACAATTCCTTTTTTTTTAAGATATGGCAGCATTTAAATATCTGGGAGATTATTTTTTTCGTTTTAAATGTAATTTCTTTTCTGTGGGGAGGAGATGAGGAAGCTTTATCGCCAGATTTTCTCCTTTGGCTGATTCCTTGTTTTTGAATTAAAGGTGGCTATCAAATATGAGGTTGTATATGTTCAAAAGAGTTTCATGTTTTCTTGCTAAAGCTGTGGTGTTGATTAAATGAAAATCCATTTCGAAAGAAGGAAAATAGCCAGTAAAGGTAGGATGCTCCACCCGAGTCTTAGTTTAAAAAAAACCTAAGAATCTGCCTGATTCTTCTGGTAACAATGCAGCAGTTCATTGCTGGGTACTAAAAAGTAATATAATCCTTTGTAATGAAATTGAAGAGAAGTGATGATTGAATTAAAGGGTATTTTAGAATACTTTCTTGGGCTCATAGTAATTATAAAAGCATTATAAAACCATTTTGGTAGTTGAAACTGTAGTACAGTTAAAAGACAGCAGCAAATTTGTTCAATAGTATGTTACTTTCTGCTGAATAAAAAAAAGGCATGTTAGAGAATGTGAAGCTGATTTTTCAACTATTTGGCCTCTTCCCATTGCCTTTCCCTTCTTTCACTCACTATTTTGGTATTACTTACTTTGAGTTTAACAGTTCCCAAGATCCATCTGCAGCTTCTTTATATAACTTAACTGGAACATTTGGAGCTGGACTTCCTCGGACTGAATCCAGAATTTTTATAAAAAGAGGATGCTTGGAGTCAGCAGAGTCCTTCAGAGAGGAAGAGAGAATTTTTGTATTGTAAGAAGGGTTCTCAATGATGTGTAATAAAGCAGTAAGCACTATTATTCTTTAGATCTATAGAGTATACTGTATTTTTCTGAACAAGAACAAGGTGTACTGCACAAATGTAGCCTAAAGCATTCTGGGGGCTGGATACTGTGTGGAACTAGGAAGAAAGATGTCAGGAGCCGTCAGGAGTGTAGCTATGTGCACTGGGGAGGCACTGCGGCTGTGTGTGAGTACACACTTGTGTTTTCTATTTGCATGGCTTAAGTACACATCATCTCCAGCATGAAGTTGTAACTAGATTGTGACCTCAACAGGAAATAATTAAATCACCAAAAGTAGTAGGAATGTTTAGAAATCTATCAACTCTTTATTTTGGAGTGGTAATTCAAGCACAGCTTTCTGCATTTGAGAGACTATGATGTCTTGTTGCCATGGAGTTATCTTCATTCTCCTGTAAATTTGAAAAGCACCGCATAAGAAGCCTCTCCTTATGTTGTATCAGATTTGTCACCCCCTGGCAGTTGTGCAGGGGTAGGAGAGGAAAACCTTCCCTCCAAGATGGGATGGCTGTAGTTTCACTCCCAGCATGTTAATAGCAAGCAATGGTTATGCCTTTATGTTTTACCTACTCAAAAGTGGAGTTGAATCAGGACTTTGACCTTCCATTACCTAAGTCTGTACGTGAAAAGTGAGAAAATAGAGCTTTGTGGAAGGTGCTAATCAGCGATGATCTCAGAATAGCAATCATTGATCTCCATTTAATCATTACAAAATAAATTGTGATGTAGATGTTAAAAACTAAGAGCCCTCTCTTATGTTCCGTCTTACAGTCTGTCATCTGTTGAGTTCCCCACCAGCCAGGAACCCTGCCCTATATCAGACCAATGTATCTGCATGTATCTATACTGCCTGTATGCCCGGACTCCTCACATTACCTTTCTGGAATGCAGAGGCTCCTCACTAGTGTTCTAAGGCATTGGCAAGGTGGGGCTCTAATTCCACTACTTATTTTCCTGTTTTTTATACCCTGGGAGCTCAGTGGAAATCTGCTTCCTCACAAGGGTTGGTCAGGTATTTATTTTCCCAAAGATCAGAGCAGGAGAGGATGAGTAGGAGGGGAGACAGACAAGTCAATCTTAGAAGAATTCCAGGCTGAAGCATATGTCTCTGGCTTGCCTTGCTGGAATAAATGAGCCCTCTGGAAGTGTGATCTTGGGTTTAGCTCTGTTCTTTGCTTGCATCGATGAGTGTTGATATCTCCTCTTGCTTGCTTGGGATAGAACTGTAGTGGGTAGAGTAGAAAGGGAGAGGACTAGAGAAGGCATTTCCTCAGCGTGGGTCTCACCAGAAGAAATGAAATCCCTCACAACAGGATTTTGGTTATTGTGTTATAAGGGCTGTTAGTTTCTTTTCAACAGGCCCAAGGCTTTTGTGTAGTGATTAAGATATTTTTTTCTTTTCAAGTTTCACATTATTTTTGACGTAGCTGAGTCTAATGACAAGTGCTGCTTCTGTAACCTTCTCACTAGTCACTAGCAAAGGGGAAAGAAGGACCAGAAAAAGAGCAGTAGGAGAGAACCGCAGTTGATGAAATCAAAAGAATTGCAGTAAAATAGAATAACCTATTTTTCATTTGTAAGAATTAAAGTATACATAAAAAAGAAAATCTGGGACTACATAGTATGAAGGACCTCAATCCTGAGACACTTACCAGTGGTGCAGCTTCGGAGACAAATGCCAGGCCAGCTAAGAAAACGAGAAATACAGAATGAAAAGCCATTTTGCCTACCCCTAGGAAGTCTCAGCGTCAGCAAGTAGAAACTGTTGGGATCTCTGATTTTTATATCAAGGCCTCTAAACTGAGGCTACTTGTCAGAAAACCCATATGACTTTCAACATACTGATTCATTCTATTTACTTAGTAAACAATGGGAAAATAAGTAACCCGTACAAACATGAACCTTGTCTGCAAAAATATGTGTCTGCTACCATTGCCTATGGAAGTATTGTGAACATTGCCTAGCTCAACTGCAGTATATTTATTTTCTTGGAAACAATGTTTATTCTGTTTTATTTGTCTCTGTTGAGGAATTAGTGCTGTAAAGACCTCATACAATGAAGAGCAATACAAATTTCTTGTCAACTTGACAATTTCAGTTTCAGTGAGAATTTCTCTGTGGCTTGGCTTAATTGACTCACCCATGTTTATCAGTTAAGAGATTTCCCTCTATGGTGGCCTTCTCCCCACCTCTCATGAAAAGTAAGTGGATAATGTGTGGGCTGTAGTTACCTTATGCATTCCTCTCAAGAAAAAATAATACTTTCCATTTCCAGCATGATAACCAGATCCCTACATACCCATTTCTGAAGCATAGTTAAACAGTGTTTTAAGTCTTGTCACTTCATTTCTCCCTTGGATTCAGTACAAGTTCAAGTACAACTCAAGTCAGCTCCCACCAGAAGCATCTGCTTCAATTTAGGGAAATGTTACTTCTTGAAATTAAACTTTGCCTTTCTGATCTTTGGTTAGACACGTGTATTCACTCTCTTGCTAGGTTTATCCTGTTGCCAGATGAACAGATGTGTGCAGAGTAGATTTTTTATTTGGTTTTGGGTTTTTGAATTACTGCACATACGTAAACATACGTCCTATTTTGAGGGCTGGGCATAAGCCACAGCAAATCAAACCTACTGGTTTTCAAGCCCCAGGAACAGCAGGACCCCATGAAATCTGCATACCTTAAAATGGGTGCTGTTTTGAAACTATTTGCACTGCTTACAGGGGTTGCGTAACTGTGGTAGTGTCCAGAAATCAGGGAACAAAGTAACTGAATAGTGAAATGTTAAAGGCAAGCTTTTAGAAGTTATGAATTCATTTGGTATGCAGTCATTCCAGAAGGCTGTATGTGTAGAGGTAAACTCCAATGTCAGTGGCAGGTGAAGGCTGATAGTTTCTGAATGGCATGATTTCAGTAACTATCTCTGTAGTTTCTGTAATCCTGTTAAAAAAAGTAATTCCTGTGCTTTATGATACTTTAAACGCAGTAGGCCGTGAGTCTGTAGAAATCACTGTGAAAGCCCTCGAAGTCTTCAGTCAGTTTATCAACAATATTATTTGAATCACAGTCACTCTACAGCTTACCTTTTCCTGTTTCTAAAAATATAAAGAGAAATTTAAGATGTTGGTTTTATTTTAGGACTTCTTTTAAAATGATAGATGGAGATTTGATTTATTAGAGATTTAACTGAAATGCATCTGGAAAAGAGCCAACAGGGTTAAAGATCAAAGTTATTAAAAATGGTGCTAATTGAAATAGCTTCAGAACTTCCTACATTGATTAAGCAGCAAATTTTCCCCCTGAAAAGACAAAGTATTGAGGCTTACCTGAAGTTTTAAGTAAAGGTACACTTTTAACTCCTTCAGTTCTCTGCATGTATATATTTCAAACAGCCCTTCAGCATTGTTTATTCTGCTGCTAGGTATTCAGAATTTCTCCTGTTTACCTTGTGACCCAGTTGATAGCCTGACCATCTCTTCTGTGTGTAAACTGTGAGTAGCATGGATGACTTTCTTATTTTGAGTATGTGTGTTTGGTCAAAATTTTTTAAGGTAATACAATTTTATATCTTTCTTATTTTGAGCCAGTGCATGTGGTGAGATTTTTTTTTGAGGTAGCGGAGGAAGATAACAGAACCAATTCAAGTGCCATGCCATGCATATTTTCCAGATGTCCTTTGCACTTGAATGTAAATCATGACACCTTAGAACACAATAAAACTTCACCTATAGAATCAAAACTGTTTTAAAGAAGTAATATTTTATTGACTTGTCTGAAGTTTGCCAGGTTACAAAATGGAAAAAAAACCCTAATGGAGCAAAAAGTTATGTATTAGCAGTAGGAAAAACCTTCCTCCTAAAAGCCTACTATAGTTCTAGTGGAGGAGGGAGTTTGTGTAACGACAGTACATGTTTATTCCTTGGGATCAGTGACAACAGCAGTGGTTGAATAAGAGAAAGGACTGAGGAGAGCGGCAATGGTATAGTGGCGGTGACCAGAATCATTAGCAGTGAACACCACCTGGAAAAGAGAAAACTTGTGATCACAATGAGCAATGTATGTTCAAAACTACCTTAGTAAGAATAAAGAAGCACACTCCGTTTCCTCTGCAAAATACTTTGCCTGTTCTGTCCAGTCAGTGATTTTGCCCTTCTGAAGTGTAATGCTCCCCTTACTTCGTGGTACTTGCTGAAGACTGAGAAATGTGTTAAGATCTGGAGTGAGGATCACAAAGAGCCTTGGCTGCAGTGAATTTGAATGTAGAGACCTACACACGAGTCAGCCAAAATAGTTAGTGATGTGGAATGGGAAGATGAGCGGGAGGTATCTCAAAAAAACAATAAGAAAGACAGAGAGATGAAATCCCATCTAGTGACCTTAAATGCAACCTCTCTGTGTGAGGTGTCCAAGCAAGGTGGGCTGTTAGAAGCCGATGCTGTTTTCTGTACTTCCGTGCTTCACTCCTGTTTTTAACACAGCTGGTGATGGGTCAGCTGTTGCATTAAGAACTGTGTGTCTAGACTTGCTAGAACAAGGAGAACACTTGGCCTAAGATAATTCAGGTTTGCTGCTCTCCAGATCAGTCCCTGGAACTTGAGACACCTAGTTTCCAAGAAAGTGTCATCACCAGGCTTAAGCTCCCACTTTCTTTGTCTCTCTTCAGTCTAATATTTGATCTGTTTTCTGAACCATGACATGCTTTCTACAAGAGGACTAGAGTTCCCTCCTACATCCCAGCCCCGCCAAAGTCTTAAGCAGCTGGGACATGCGGGCTGTAGGCTCCCGTTACCTTGTACACAGACACAGTCAGTCATTGCCCACTTCTGAGGTTAATTTGTTGACCTGTGGGCTATTACATCAAAGGAAGTCTTCTTCAACAGCCTAGCTGGAACAGTCTCAAAGAGGTGCTTTTAAGCACTTTTTGAGGTGAGCCTTTCTGTATGCCCCAGCAACTTTCAGACATCCAGGTGGCTAGAGGATGTTTTTGAGGATTGTTTATTTGACCTAAATGACCCAAGCTGCACCTCAGACTTTTATGGACATGGGCCTTAGTCATCTGTTTTAGTCTTCACAGACCTTCATAAACTTAGGGTTTAAAATGTTCTATAATACAAACTGTAGCCATTCCAGACTACTTAATTTGGGGAAGCTTAAATTTAATGGCAGATTAAGCCTGAAGAATTAAAACAATATTTTTGAAGAGCACACAATAAATCAGTGCAGGGCTGAAAGCAAAGGGAGACATAAGACATGATTATATTGCTGGCCTACTTGTGACATCTGAGTATTGATGAAACAGCCAACTTTTCTGCTCCCACTATGGTTATTTCTTCATACTTTTATGCCTTTTTTGGGGGTTGTTTTTTTTTCTTTTTTTCTATTGCATATCTCAGTACTAAGCATCTTTTTTCCTTTTTCTTTTTTTAAAGGGACATCACAAAGAATTGTCTTTTCCTATAATTACAGGTCACACTAGAATTCAGGGATTGCCAGGGGCTGATATGGGCAAAATACATCTGCTTAAAGAATAGCTTATTTCCCATAAAACTGTTTTTTCCAAATCCCTGTATTCCTTCAGCAACAATAAAAGCAGTTTTTTATTTCTTTTTTTGCCTCCTTTGTTTTTAAACACTGTGTACTTTCGAATAATGTAGCTTTTTTTGAACGAAGGTCCCTACTAGTCTGAATGGGTGAATGGGATCAGCTCCATTTGGAAGAGCTGTATCAGTATTTGCACAGAAGTCAGCTACTTCCTTTGGCTTAGCCAGTTGTATATTGCCTTTATCTGCCCAATGTTATGTGGCAGTGAACCATTTCACTGAATTTTGACACTCCTGCAGTATTAAAGGACTGCAGCTGTTTTTTCCAACTGATGCCACTACATTATATACAGGTTATTAGATATATTTGCAGATACTTACATCAGCATATTCATGGAATGGAGAAAGCCCAAGTCCCTTCCAGTAAGAGCTGGTGTCAAACTCAACCCTGTATACTGCTTCTACAAACTGTTCTTCTGTTGTGAGATCATGGATCTCCCCATATTCTGTGGTTTTCCTGTAATGGTAAAATATCTACATAAATATTTTATACTGTCATTTAGATGCTAAACAGAAACAGTTGATGTGGAATATTAAACAGCAGAGGTGCTGCACAGCCAAATTCTACACTGAATGGTTTCTAATCATCTGAAATAATTCCCTCCCATGTAGCGTATGTTTCTGTATTGCAGAGCCTGCCCCTGTGGCTTACTTAGAATCATAGAATAACTAGAATCATAGAATAATTAGGGTTGAAAAGGACCTTAAGATCATCTAGTTCCAACCCCCCTGCCATGGGCAGGGACACCTTACGCTGAATCGTATCACCCAAGGCCTCGTCCAACCTGGTCTTGAACACTGCCAAGGATGGAGCACTCACAACCTCCCTGGGTAACCCATTCCAGTGCCTCACCACCCTAACAGGAAAGAATTTCCTCCTTATATCCAATCTAAACTTCCCCTGTTTAAGTTTTAACCCGTTACCCCTTGTCCTATCACTGCAGTCTCTAATGAAGAGTCCCTCCCCAGCATCCCTATAGGCCCCCTTCAGATACTGGAAGGCTACTATGAGGTCTCCAAGCAGCCTTTTCTTCTCCAGGCTGAACAGCCCCAACTTCCTCAGCCTGTCTTCATACAGGAGGTGCTCCAGTCCCCTGATCATCCTCGTGGCCCTCCTCTGGACTTGTTCCAACAGTTCCATGTCCTTTTTATGTTGAGGACACCAGAACTGCACACAATACTCCAGGTGAGGTCTCACAAGAGCAGAGTAGAGGGGCAGGATCACCTCCTTCAACCTGCTGGTCACGCTCCTTTTGATGCAGCCCAGGATACAGTTGGCTTTCTGGGCTGCAAGCGCACACTGAAGCCAGCTCATGTTCATTTTCTCATCAACCAACACCCCCAAGTCCTTCTCTGCAGGGCTGTTCTGAATCTCTTCTCTGCCCAACCTGTAGCTGTGCCTGGGATTGCTCCGACCCAGGTGTAGGACCTTGCGCTTGGCAGGGTTAAACTTCATAAGGTTGGCATCAGCCCACCTCACAAGCGTGTCAAGGTCCCTCTGGATGGCATTCCTTCCCTCCAGGGTATCAACTGAACCACACAGCACAAATCAAAGCTGGGTGGCTTTTTTTGTCATTTCTATTGCTACAGCAGAGATTATAGTTAAGAACCCTCTTTTAATATCATGTTTAACTTGTACCAAGTGCCTTCTGGAACCAAATGTTAGCGGCTTAGGAAAAGGATTGGTATGATGAAAGGTAAGATGGCAAATCTTAAATTAGAATTAAAGAGAGAAGAGAGATTTTAGTGGAAAATTATTTTGTTCTCTAGTTATTAGAACTGAGGCCATAGGTTTTACCTTTGATACAGTTTTATGTGACCCTGAGTGGTAGTATCTTGGAAAAGCAATTTAACATCAAGATTTTATTAATTTGAAATACAGTGCCTTGGTCAAAGAGCAGGGACCTCTTCTGGGTGCCACGTAAATGAACAATAGGAATTCTCAGCTGAGAGAGAGCATGTACTCAGCTATTAACAAAAAATATGTGGATGGATGAATGAAGTCCAGAAGGAAGAAGGAAATATAGCTGGCATTGCACCCTATTTGTTTGAAAAGGACCAAGTTTTGCGTGACAGCTGTTTAAATATTTGCATACTTAGCTGCTAAACCCCACTTATCTCTTTTCTCTCCTTCTATTTCTGATTTTTTAAACATTTTTTCCCCTGAAAATATTTATTTGATATTTATAGCACTTCATAATCACATGATGTAGTTGAAGAAAAAATGAAGAGTCTTGACTTGAAGAACTAGTGGAACTTTCCTGTCTTACAGCAAGAGTAACTGTTCAGGCAGAAAACAGAAAAGCTTGAGGAGGAAGAGAGGAAGGGGAGACAGCAGTGGCGCACTGCTTGTCAGAGACACAATTAGTTGGGCTATTGCAGCTTTTCTTTTCCAGCTGTTGCCTCCTTCTTCATCTTACTTGTTATCTTTGGTTAACAGTGGTAGATGAAAAAAGTCTGAATGACAGAGCCTTTGCTTAAATTAAGAAGAAACAGGATAGGAATTGCCATGCTAATTTTCAGATTTTCTTATATTTCAAGTTTAGCAATTTGAAGACTGACAAAAGTTTCACTAGTCCAATACAAGTGAAATCAACTGGATCCAGGGTAGACCGAAGACCGAACCTGCAGAGAACCCAAGCCCTATTTGAAACATGGTTCGCGGGCAATTTGTGAAGTGTACACATCTGTTTTCATTCAATTAGTATTTCCTGCTTAATTCATATTGCTTTAATAAGAGGCAGTAGGTAGAAGGAGGAAGAACTCATTGACAAGACCTCACTTGGAGTATTGTGTGCAGTTCTGGTGTCCTCAACATAAAAAGGACATGGAACTGTTGGAACAAGTCCAGAGAAGGGCCACGAGGATGATCAGGGGACTGGAGCACCTCCCGTATGAAGACAGGCTGAGAAAGTTGGGGCTGTTCAGCCTGGAGAAGAGAAGGCTGCGTGGAGACCTCATAGCAGCCTTCCAGTATCTGAAGGGGGCCTATAGGGATGCTGGGGAGGGACTCTTCATTAGAGACTGTAGTGATAGGACAAGGGGTAACGGGTTCAAACTTAAAGAGGGGAGGTTTAGATTGGATATAAGGAAGAAGTTCTTTACTGTGAGGGTGGTGAGGCACTGGAATGGGTTACCCAGGGAGGTTGTGAATGCTCCATCCCTGGTAGTGTTCAAGGCCAGGTTGGACAGAGCCTTGGGTAACATGGTTTAGTGTAAGGTGTCCCTGCCCATGGCAGGGGGGTTGGAACTAGATGATCTTAAGGTCCTTTCCAACCCTATTCTATGATTCTATGACAAGTGTCCTGGAAACCATGAAATAGAATTGCTAGGATCCTGTAGAAGTGTTCAGAGTACAAGATAACAATTTGTTTACATCTACTTAGAAGCTGAGTAGTTTACACAAAAACCCATTAAAAGGAAAAATAGTGTCTACCTCAAAATCTTTGTTCATGTAAACACATAAGTTTTAGTTTGAGAAAAGCATGGATGCATCTTGAAGGGTGCTTTCCCTAATAACTGCTGACCCAGAGTTTGAGATGTTAACTGCACTGAACAGTTGGGAAACTGGAAACAAGAGTTCACTTGAAGACTCTGGCCCACTACCAGGAGTTAGTGGCACTTCATTTCAGTTATTAAGCAATAGTCCTTCAGTGCAAGTGGTATCACAAGGAAAGCCTTCAGCAGTACTGCTTCATTGACAGCCAACAGGACAGTGTGCAATTCAGAGCCTGGATGGGAGTAGCACAAGCCAGAGGATGCCCTACATTCATCCCTGGTAGCAAAAGGCTACAAGCGATCCCTTCTGAACAGCACTTGTATTACTGTCTGAGTTGAGGAATAAATATAGTATGGTTGTTTATTCTTAATAGGATGCGGACTGCCAGCATCTGCTGTAAGATGGATAGTCATATTAAAGCTGTGCTTTTCCAGCAGGAAATTTGCAAACCTCTGGTTAAGCTACTATGGTTCCAGCCTAGACTGCAATCCTGATGCACGTTTTCACTGTCTGGACCTTAGTTATATGTTGTGACCAGGTTAAATCTACGCTGCCTATGCAATAATGCCTTTATGTACTCTTGCGCTACATACTGCACTGATATAAACTCTGCGCTAAGATGCAGAATGCTGAAGAAATATATCTCAGGAGCACGAATTATTATTTTGAAGGAGATTGGTTTTTTTTTGGAAAGAAGGATGTTGAGGGAACCACTCAAATATGCTGCAGTTGTTTTTTATGATTTACAGCCTAGCTCACATGAGAACTATGTTTGGTGACTGCAACTCTTGATCTATATGATAAGACCTAGATTTTTCAAGAACATGTGAGGAGTGAGAGGTTCAAAGCTAGGGAGGAGCTAATACAGAACCCAAATCACATGTTTCCCAGTCTCTGTGCCCTGAGGCCTTCCTCAGAGTACATCTCAGCTCAAGTTATCTCTTCTTGAGTATTTTTGGTTAGACTAATTTTGAAATAGCCTTTTTAATAAAGTTAGCTGTTGCTATGCTAACTTCCTGTCTCTTAAATACCATTACACCAAATTCACCAGTTGCTAGATGCATTTGCTTAATTTCCTAAAATGTGTTAGCAAAGTCAAAACAAACAAACAAAAAGGAGAAAAATATTTTTTATAGACATTTGTACAAAATGTATTTTTTCCACATGTATCTGCTAGGTACTGTAACTTACAAATGTTATTAACCTGACCGTAGTAGTTATAGATTGTATTCTTTGATTGCATTCAGATTTTCATCTGCTTTAACACAGAGAAACTCTGGTTTTCCCAAAAGAAAAAAAAAAGGAAAAAGAAAAATAATGTGAAAACTCAGTTGAAAAATGTGTCATCAGCTAAAGTCAAGGGTGTCACTGTAAGAAACCTTGGTTAAGATGCAAGTCAAGGGAAAGATCAAAATCTTCACCTGCAATAAAAATTGTGGTTTAATGTTCTTCCACTGCCTTCCCCCAGCACGGTGGTTCTCACTTGCCTAGGGTTAGTCTCAGTTTATATTTCAGGAGAAAGGATTTGATTTTCTCAGGGGTGTGCTGACCTAAAATGTCAACAGCGGTTGGCTGAGGACTGCAGGATTTGTCTCCTTGGGCTTGTTGAGACCAGCATTGCAAATTGAACAAGAAAACACTGTTATGCCACAAAACTGAGGTCATTTAACACCAACGTTAATTTATCTTCCATTTATCTTACTCCTCTGTAAACTGTATTTTGTATTATATATTCAAGAGCACTTGACAAAGCATTTGAAGTAATCTGGGTTTCTTGATAATGGCAGAAATACTCATTAAGGACAAGACATTATCCTTGTCTCTGCTTTCCTGGAAAGCAATGTATCTTTTTTAATGGTGTTTCTCTGTTCGTTATGGTATATAAATCCATTCTGAGAGTAATTTGTTCCTGGTTTAACACACAGTATTTGGGAGTGGAGGTGTTTGTTTCTCCTTCAGTCTCCTGACCTTGTTCCTTTTCAATGGGGAAAAAGTAAGTTAGCTTTGAGTTTTAGAAAAAGAAACCCTTCAGGGGGAGAGAAAGGTACCTCTCTCCTTGTGGTCTTCTGTGGGTTTTTTTTCTGCAGCTTTTATGTAAATTGTGCTATAAAAATCCAAGGAAAAGACAATTAAATGCTCTGGTGGCTCCTGTCCATGCTTGTGCTTGTCATTCTGTGCTTGAATATCCTGCTGTTACTAAAGATTTCTCTTGATTGATATAAAAATTACATGAGTTGTTATAATGAAACCTAAATGCCTGAATATCATCTCACCTATTTGAATTCTAGTAAAATGTTTTCCTCTGTTACCCATACTTTTCCCAAAGACTGAAGAGAATTGTATTATTGCCTTCCCCTCAGTGATGCTTTGTAGGCAATAAGCTGTCATTCTAGCAAAAGCCATGCAGATATATAGAAATAACCACAAACAAATGCTTCTGTGCTGTGTTATCATGGGACTTCTTAAAACTCCCTGGTCAAGGAGTTTCTTCCAACCAGCATGCTTGTTAAAGAGGAAAAGACAATTAATGTGCTTATTATTTGCATGTGTACAGTCAGATCTTACAGAGAGGATTTTGTATGTGTTTACTGCTGCAAATAAAACTATATCCGTTATGTATAAAACAGTAGGTTAGTCTGGATTACCTACAAAATTCTGGTAAATAGGCTTTTAAGTATTTTTTAATTCTTTTTATAGAAATGAAAGATAGTACTAGAGCTAGAAGAATAATTATTAAACCTATTCCTTTACACAGGTAAGAGAAGCATCTCAATATATTTTTGCAATTAGCATGTATTTCAGTTGTGGATAAATTCCACTTGAATCTGACAGATTTTAGACCAGAATTCATGTCCTGTTAACAGTGATAGTGTGACATGTGCTAGAAAGCTTTTTTGATCAGAGCCCCATTCCCTTTATTTCTCAATTGTTTGCCCGAGGCACCTTGAAAACGGCTCCATAAGACCACGTAACTTACCCAGTAGCAAAGTCCTGCCAGCTTCCATCTGCAGCCCTTTTAAAGACTTTAACAGCTACGTTAGATGCAGGACTTCCTCTGACTGCATCCAGCACTTTCACCATGAGAGGGCATTTGGAATCAACAGAGCCATGGGAGACCTAGGGAAAGCAGGAGAGGTTGAATAGGAGCTGTTCATCAGCCCTACAAAAACCTTGTTTCAAAGAAGAGATGAATTCTTATTGCAGAGCTAAAGTTGACTTAAAAGCAATTTTTTTTGACAAATGGTTCACAAACATCTATTTCTTAAAGCAGACTATCTTAGAGTTTTATACTGAAGACTCTATTACACACACTGACACACACAAACAGATTGCTTGATAAATATTTAGATTTGCATATGGCCCTAGGAAAATGTTATAATGTGCATGTTTTTAATGAGGTAACAAATAAGAAAATAGTAACTTATTATAAGTGCAGGCAGCCTAGGAAACCAACGATGAAATACCTATGACATCCCTAGAACTGAAAGAATATTTGTTTCTTGAGATTCATTATACTATAAAGAATTAGTCATACTTCAAAAGTATTTTTTTAGTGTTTTAGAGAAGCAGTTGTTTGGTGAAGAGGTAAAGCTACCTCTTATATTGGAGATAGGGGATGTGAGTCATGGACTGACAGAAACAGACAGAAATAAAAGGTCACACCTTCTACATCTATGACCCTTTCATAATATCCTGAAAAAGATGATAAATGACAAAAAAAGGCTTTTTAGGAATCTTGAAGAAGCTGCTTAAAATATTGGAGCAAAATAACACTCCAGCAATGCCAAATGGTTAAAGAATTTCATGGATGAAGAGAATGCTAGTCATGTAGAAAATCTCAGTTATCATTAATGATTGAGTTTGAATAAAAAGCGACTCACCAGTGGTGCAGCTTCAGAGAGAAATACCAGTCCAGCTAAGAAAATGAAGAGCACAGAGTGAAAGGCCATCCTGTTTGCTGTTAGTGAGCCCTGGTGCCAGCAGCTAGGAGCTGCGGGGATTTGGGATTTTATAGCAAATCCGACAACAAAACAGGCTGCTTATTGGGTGCCCATATGACTCCAAATTTGCTGATTCTGACTATTTGCTTAGTAAACAGTCCAATCCTAGAGTCAGTCCATGAATAGCACTGCCATTACAGTCAATGGAAAGACTGTAGGATCACTAGAGCAAAGAGAATAAGTAACGGACACAAACATGACCCTTGCCTGGGGAGATTAGACTCGTAGAAAGCCCTCCAGAAAATAACGCAAATGACCTTTGTTTGCCCAGAAATCCAACCAGTTCTAGGAGATCTTCTTTACCTTGCCCTCAGGTTGTGCATGATCATGCCCTAGTGCTTCCTCTTACTCCTGCTCCATGTTTCTTCTCAATGTAGTCAGTGCTTTCTGAAGACCAGTTCCCACATATAGATAGATGCAGACTCAGTATAAGGGTGATGGAGTTTGTTGTCTGGCTGAAGCAGTGCTAATGGTCCATCCTAGGAGACAGATTCTGAAGTAGTTCCCTTGCTTGTTGAAAAGGAGCAATGTTTCATTTTGAAACATAATTTAGATAGGATCTGGCAATGTCTGCCTTTCAACCTAAGGATTCCTAAGGATTCATCTTGCCTAATCTTCAGGTAGACATTGAGGTTTCCTCTTAGCCACTGGGAAGAGACCTAGAGAGATCTATCCCTTTGGGAAGACAAAGATCTCAGAAAAGTGAAATGTGTCCTGTCTTGCTCCATGTAACCCAGAAGGAGCCAAAGCAACTAGGATAGACTGGTAGGTTATGTTAACATGTAGCTAATGT